CTAGCAAACGCAACAGCATTATCTTGCTATTTTATGCTGGTATTATGAACTCGTACAAGTTCCTTTCTTACCACGTTAGAGCCGACTATTCGTGTTGCACTAATAGTACTATTATTTATTCTGTGCTAATAGATACACTGCAACGTTGATGTGCCACTGAAATTGTGATAACAAAAATAAAAGAGCTTATCTATTTTTTATTAAATAACCATATTTATTATGTATACACTTTTTCTACATTGCGGAATTAAAAATTAATAATTTCTTTATCTTATATTTACAAATAAAAAATACTTGAGCTATGTAAACAGTAAAATAAATAGATTACTTACATTAATATATTTATATATTTTTTTAGATTAATTCTCGTATCTATCGCTTAAAGAGATCAACATAGAGGTAATATTACAAAAAAAAAATACAATTTATCTTGGATCCTCTTTCTCTATAACATTGTTTGAACCGCAGCATGTTTTAGGATCTTCAGGAACCCAGATTTTGGCGTGTAGAGTTCCTCCTGGTGGCCGTTCTCCACGTCTTGACCATGATAATGAATGTGCTTGAAAGTTACTACCTGAAACAATCAAACTTGGTGACGATATTTTCAGTGGGAAAAATTATGCATACACACATAACTATCCTGATAAAAACAGCACCGGACTTTGTAAATTAAAAGAATCATGGTCTTATTAAAAGTCAGAAGAAAAACCAAAAAAAAAGTTGAATGATGTTTTAAAATAAGTGTACAAAGAGTAAATTTTATTAATATAAAAAATAGAAAAAATACATTAATATAATACAGCTTTTATTCGCAATCTCGTCTGCGTGGAACTTAAAAGAAAAACTTAGGTACTACTTTAACATTTATAGTTTTGTAGTAAAATGGTATTGAAGTAAAAGTAATGATAAAATATTGATTTTACACAAAAAATTTAAGGGATATAAAAATGTTTAGGGACCATTTTACGTAAAATTACAAATGAAAAAGTTTTGGCTGAAACTTTTACAGTTTAAAAGACAATCATTAATAAAACATTTATTTATTTATGACATTTTCATTTACGTAAAACTTCTCCATGTTTGTCGAATAAAATAATGCCTTGTTCATTCCTGACACTATAGTTCATAAAAGATAGCTTAATCTCTGCGACAGCTGTCAGAAAAAATCTCAAAGTCCTGAATTTCGTAGTAGTACAGACAGTACGTGTCAATGTCATACTTTATGTGGCATGCACTAATTAGGTCGGCATGCCCATAAAGTACGACATTGACAGGTACTGTCTGTACGTAGACAGAGAATGTCTACGTGTCTGTACTACTACGAAATTCAGGACTTCATAGGCGTGATTTTTACTGACTGTCGCAGAGATTAAGCTATCTTTTATGAACTATAGGTACTCTCTATTTGTGAAAGTTACATTACAATTGGTTCAGCCATTCGAAAAATTTCCCGACTGAAACACAGACAGCCAAAAAGTTTAAAAATTAATAGTAATATTTAATAAATAATTCCTTGCGTTCAATAGAAGGCAGTTATTTTGATAATACAGACGGAAACTTAGTAGATTTAACTAGAGCCTGACTAAAACTTAACTAGAGCCATGATAGCTCAGATGGTTAGCGCTCGCTGAATCGAATTTTTTTTCTTTTTATAGAAGAGGGGGCAAACGAGTATACGGTTCACCTGATGCTAAGTGTCTTCCGCCGGCCATGAACATCAGCAACACCAGGGGAATTGCAGGTGCGTTGGCGTTAGCTATATTAAATTGCCGGCCCTTTAGAAATAGTTACGTTACCTATATAAGAAATTATTTCTTGAAGGTCGTATCGGTCTGGATAATCGCCGTTGGTAAACTATTCCACAGAGAGGTCGTGCGCGGAAGAATTATGAAACGTACAGTGGTGGACCGCCAAGCATCCAGATGGTGTGGATGGTGTCGGGAGGTTTGCCGCGTAGTGCGTTCATGAAATTTGGCGGCTGGGATTAATCCGAACAATTCCTGAGAGCTTAGAAGATAAATGAATGCAACATCTCTTCGCAGCGCCAGTGTATTTTGATTATTAATTTATTTTGGTTATTATTAATGACAATTTCAAAATACACGAGAAAACCGGGTTCGATACCCGCCGGCACCAATGAAATTGTTAACTGCAATTTTAAGTGCTGATTTACCATGTGCTCGGCAGTGAAGGAAAACATCGAGAGGAAACCTGCATGTCTGAGAAATAAAAAAAATTTCGAAGACATGTGACTGCGAAGTTCGCAAACACGCATTGGGGCAGCGCGGCGGACAATTCCTTGCCCTGAAATCCTCTCGTATATAAGGGGAGGCCTGTGCCCAGGAGTAGGCTATAGCCTATATACGACCCAAATTAAAGTTTTCGTCTAAGGTTACAACTTTGGAAGGAAACTTAAATTTTTTTATATAGGTTTCTTGAATAATCTACAATCTTTGTCGACCAAATGAAAGTGTTCGGTATTTATTAACTTTTTGCCCTAATTGTCTGTAAATTTGTAGTTAAAATTTGGGATAAACATTTTTAATTACAAATAAGCCACTGTGTTTTGAGAAACTTGAAATCCACTATTTGTGGTAATGTGAGCCAAGTAGTGAGAAATAATTTCTATATAAGTACAATTTCAGATTTCCCCGATATATAAAAGAACTACCGGAACGTGTCACTGGTGTCTAGATTTGCTAGATCTTGATGCCAAGAGGGTGAATATCGACAGCACATGTAGAGCAACGCGGTCTACAATATAGCTAACGCCAACGTTATCTTAATCATATTACACTGTTTAACAAATTATGTAAACATTATGTAAACAAGTGTTATATCAAAAAATTGATTGACCTGATGGCAAGTGACTCCTGCAGTCCATGCATACCTGAGCCAACAGAAAACCCTGGGGAAGATAGAGAAGTTGCCTTGTCACCTCTGAGGACTAAGATGGAATCTAATTATACTGACTCTCCAGACTATTGTGATTAATGACAAGTCGATTACTATAGAAATATCGATTTTGAAAGCCAAACCAAAGAAATACAACTCCAAAAGATACTCTTTTTACTAAATATTTATAGAACTGTAATTATTTTATTCGGGTATCAAATTTTAAACGACATTAAAACATTGCTCCCAAGCATGAAAGGAAACCTAGCATTACGACGTAATTTACTTTACTTTTATATTCTGAAAGTTTTAAAAGAAATACAAAAGCGTTTTGCTATCCATTGTTATTTAAGCTTAAAAGTAAGTTATTGATATTAAAGTAGTTTTAATATCGGTTACAATAAACATGGACATGACTTAAATAAAATGAAAAGGCTAATCTGTAATCAATGAACTTTCAATTAGACTCGCACAATCGCTTGTGTAAAACCCTAAGCGAGCATAAACAGAAAATTTTATTTATCCGCAATTATTTTGAAGAGAGCGTAAACAGTTCTCCCCGGGGGCTTCTAACTAAACATTTCGCGATGTGGTACAATAACGGGGTGTTTGGTTGGGGATCGAATGCGGGGGTGCATGCACGTGCGCTCTGTTATGTCCCCTTGGCCCCTTGCTCTATGCTGTTAAGAGCTGACCGCAATATATCGATATTTTAAACTATTGTTTATATGGTGTTTCCCGACCTAAAAATAATTGAATACTATAGTAACGTATGTTAGATGCCGCTCTTGTTGAAATAAAATATGAATGAACTCATATCAGTTTTCAAATATGTGTGTTTTTAATAACAGATATAAAAGTTTTAATACTAGTCTTATTTCTATTTCAAAAGTGACGAATTTACGTGGTAGAGCCATGCTGCAGCTATATTAAGTACCCGGATGACCGAGCTTTGCTCGGTTTTTTTTGAACTGAACTGGTTATTTGAATAAAAAATCATGAATGCAATTAAATTAAAATTAAAAAATTTACATAAAATTTTCGTATTTTTAAAAAATACTAAAAAAAGGGTTCGAAATAATAGATCTTTTTCACAAAAGAAGGGAACTTGAAAAAAAAAAGGAAAAAAATCGGACCGAAGATATGACGCGAACCAAGGCATTACGATTGTGTGAAAATTACGATCATTAACACAGTGTCAAAATTTACCTTCTTATATTGTAGCAGTTTTTCATTGCCTGAAAACACGGACAAAGAGAAATTTTCAAAAAATAAATCCTAGCTAGATCGATTTCTTGCCCCCGAAACTCCCTGAACACTAAATTTTATGAAAATCGTTGGAGCCGTTTCCGAGATTCCGGTTATATATATACAAGAATTGCTCGTTTAAAGATATAGGATTGTATAGTTGTAGCCCGAATGGGTCGGCTCGCATGGGGAAGGACCACACTCTCACAGAATACCAGCGTTAAAATGCAGCTTCATGCTGCTGTGTTTCTATGGTGAGTGTAGAGAACCGGAGACCCTTTTACTGGAAAAGAGGCATTCCATCTTAGTCCTCAAGGCTGACAACGGATCTGCATTTTGGTTCGCAATCGAGGATAGATGTCTATGTCTGTCTGTGTAGATGATGAGGATAGAGTCTATGGGCCTCAGCAACCACTTACCATCAGGTGGACTGTATGCTTGCTTGTCACCCTTTTCCTATAAAAAAAATTAATTACTCACGAGATCATGTAATTATTATTTTTAACACAAATAAATTTTATCATCTAATTTGAGTGCCATATCAAATAAAAAGTAACAGTGTTATTCACGATTTATTGTTATCGATACATATTTGAGTGTTATTCCCTACCGATAGTACGACGAACGTTTATACATGTGCATAAGTAACAGTTTAGGACTATATCACAGTAGACATATTGAACATTTCAGGTAATTAGACCGCTTGTCGCATTTGGAACCACCACAAATGATGAATATGTAAGAAAGCATGACTTTAGCTTACTGTAATTTGGATTTAATGATAAATGTATATACTGTTATTGTATCAACTTCTCTATAGTTGTATTTATTTCCATCTAGTTATAAAAAGTTAACAATTAATTTTGCCCGCGGTAATTTTTCCCAGCATATTTCGCTAAGGCACCTAATTCTTCCTCTATTCTAAGGATTTGATTATATTTGCCGATGCGTTCAGAACGTGCTGGTGCACCACATTTAATTTGCCCTGCAGATAATCCAACGACCAAGTCGGCAAGGAATAAGTCGTCCGTTTCCCCCCACCTGTCAATCACTACTACACCAAAGCCGTTAGTTTTCATCAATTTAAAAGCTTCTATAATCTCTGTAAGCGTGGCTGATTGGCTTAACCGTAAACTTAAAGTGTTACCAGCTTTTTTCTCGACAGCTAAACCTACTCTCCTTAAGTTTGTCTGTGTTAGGTCATTTCCAATCAATTGCATCTGAGTGCGTGCTGTTAAAGTTGACCATCCAGCCCAGTCGTCATAATCAAAAGCGTCTTCGACGGAGCACATGGGGAACTCCTTCATATTTTCAAGATATAGCTCAGCAAGCTTATCTGCAGACATATAATTTTGAGGGTTGGATTTGGGGTTTTTGAATTCTAAATCATAACCTCCATCTTTGTATAAATCCGAAGCGCAGGCATTTATAGCTATTTCAACTTTTCCTGCATATCCGCATTGTTTTATAGCATCCGTTAAGAAAAGGAGAGCATCTCTGTTACTCCGTAATGGTATGGCAAAGCCACCAGAATCGCTAACGTAAGTTGACTCGATTTTAAACTTTGATTTTATAAGCTTTTTCACATATTGATAAATATCAGTACCTAAACGCATTGCATCAGCAAAAGATGAAACTCCGGTAGGCATGATCATATATTCCTGAAAAGGTAGATCATTAGAGGCGAGAACCCCGCCTGTTAAGATTGTAAAATGTGGGACTGGCATTATTATGGTTGTTATTTCAGCCATATCGGAAATGTGTCTGTAAAGAGGCATTCCTTTCTTGGCTGCCCCTGCTTTTGCCACAACCATTGATACGCACATAATAGCATTAGCCCCGAGCCTTGATCTATTATCGGTACCATCAAGAGCTAGCATGAATTGATCGATTTCTTTTTGCATCGTTACTTCATAATTTTGCTTTATAAGTTCTGGTGCAATTATCGTATTAATATTTTTAACAGCATTACTCACGCCCATACCCATGTATTGACTAGGATTGTTATCTCGTAGTTGTACTGCTTCTGCAACCTTTTTGACATCAGTATTAGGTACACCGACACGAAATAGACCCAGCTCAGTTACCATGTCCACCTCCACTGTCGGCACACCCGTGGAATCGAATATTTGACGGGCAAGCAATATCTTTATCGGCATTACTACGAATATTATTAGATCAATATATTAAATATGAGAAAATACCAAAGATAATGAAAACTGAATGTCATGTTGACAGTTTTCTGTTATAAGATAAACGTATTTTTTATTGTTTTGATATTTTTTACATGACCAGAGTTAATTTCAAATACATTATCTATACACCCATCTACACATTGCTTTTTTATTTTGGATTAGAATATACAATAAAGCTCAACATTAAAATCAACAGAGTCGGGGACCCTACGGCACACGTGCGCGATAATCCCTATGTAAATCTTACATTACTTTCCGATAAGGTGTTTTTATTAATTGAAAAAATGATTATGTGATTTAAAATGGCCAGAATAATTTTTACGGTATAATAATATTTGACAACATTTTTACTATCATATTATAGGTATTAGGTACAATATTTATTAATAAAATAAATTGATAAAACTATAGGTAATTAATACAGTCCCACCCCCCGCGGTATAGTGCTAAGAACGCTAAGTTTCCTCGTTAAATGGTTAAGGTTAAGCTAAGCCTTTTGGCAAGAAAATACGAGGCCTGGCGTTTCGAACGTCAGTCATGTAAAATAATAATAATTATTATTATTTTGCATCTGCAATATAGTTAAATTAAAGTACGAATGTGTCAGCTCGACCGAGGAAGGACTACGCTCTCTCAGAATACCAGCGTAAAATAGCATCCTAATGCTGCTACGGCTGTATGCTGAGTGTAAAGAACCGGACCCTATTTACTACAAACAAGGCATTCTATCGAAGCCCACAGCGGTGAAAACGCATTTGCTGCATACTTAATCGAGGATAGATAAAGATGTCACAGGTGCTTACCACTAACCTGACACTATGTGCTCGTTACCCTTATTCTATAAAAAGAATCCCTATGGTCCGTTAGTCTTTACAGAAAATAGAATATGTTGTTTCTCAGAGACATATTTGTACCATTTATTTTGTTCAGCCGCCTTTGATGTCGCCCCAGCGGTACTCCTGAGGGCAGAAGCAATTGCCTCTAAATATTCCACTAAGTTCTTACATCAATAGAATATTTATAGAGACGAGAGCTCATCTGATAACGACATTCAGAGAACTGTGACGAGAACATCTTTTCTTAAATGAAAGTTCCTGAAAACTAAACTTGTTTATGACATTAACGCGAGACTGGCAACTAAATAAAGATTTTTTTGAAGTTTATTTTCTCAACCACTACTAAAATAATATCCTTCATTCCTTATTGTATTATTGCCAATTTATAAAAAAACTATGAAATATAGTCCATTACACCTGATTTCTTTTGTATAAATAGAATTGAATTAAGAATTAAATAGCTTTAATCTTTTTATGTACATAAATTAAAAGAAAAAAAAAACTTATTAACAGCATCTACGACATCATTTCAGGGGGTGTGAAGAGCTTAATAGTTTTCTAATTCACACCACCCTCTTGTTTACAGAGGGAGGAGAACACTTAATTTAATAAAGCGTGATTCGCTTATACAATGCACTTCGACACTCTTTGTCGTTTAATTGCAAATAGAATGTGATCTCGTCGGTAGAGAGTAATTGTGTTCTGTGATACGATCCTTTCGTTTTAGTTTCTTTGTTATCAATCTATACAAACCAATCAAAATATAGATACTAATTATTGTTTGAACATCATCATTATCATTATTACAGCCCTTAACAAGTCCACTGCTGAACATATGCCTTCCCCAAGTAATGCCACAAAGCACGGTCCTGAGCCACCTGCATCCATCGACTTCCTGCATGTCTTACCAGGTCGTCACTCCATCTAGGGGTCGCCCTACACTACGCCTACCGGTACGAGGCTGCCACTCGAGAACCTTTCTTGTTTATGACACTGCCGACTATCTTCCTCATCGGTTATCAGTTCTTCGAGCTATATGCGACCCATTGCCACTTCAGCTTACTAATCCGTTGTTTGTATGTTGCAATTGTTTGAACATTTAGATAAATCCATACTAATATTATAAATGCGAAAGTGTGTTTGTTTGTTTGTCCTTCTTTCACGTCGCAACAGAGCGTTGGCATGGCATGATTTTTTGTATGGGGATAGTTCGGTGGCTGTAGAGTGATATAGGTTACTTTCTTCCGCGGAAAAACATCTCATTCCCGTGGGAAAATAGAATATGTTCTAAAAGTTTGTCCTTTCACGTCGCAACAGAGCGTCGGCATGGCATGATTTTTTGTATGGGGATAGTTCGGTGGCTGTAGAGTGACATAGGTTACTTTCTTCCGCGGAAAAACATCTCATTCCCGTGGGAAAATAGAATATGTTGGAAAAGTTTGTCCTTTCACGTCGCAACAGAGCGTCGGCATGGCATGAATTTTGGTATGGGGATAGTTCGGTGGCTGTAGAGTGACATAGACTACTTTTTTCCGCGGAAAAACATCTCATTCCCGTGGGAAAATCGAATATGTTGCACAAGTTTGTCCTTCTTTCACGTCGCAACAGAGCGTCGGCATGGCATGATTTTTTGTATGGGGATAGTTCGGTGGCTGTAGAGTGACATAGCATAGACGGACGACGGTACGATGGACGAACACAGAAGGTCAGAATAGCTGGATTATTATGTCTTTTTACCGAAAATTAAGATAAAAAATGTATGGATCTGTATTTTTCCACGCAGGACCGGGAAGAGAGCGATAAAACACATAAAATTCACCAGCGGATTTTCTTCAAACGTTTTGGTGCATTGTAATTCACAAAATAGGCGATAACCTCGCAGATGATATTAAGTAATCCGTTGATGCTCTGCCTACCCCGCAAGGGTTACAGGCGTGATTATAAGTATGGACCAGAAATACTATCACCACCTGTCACGCTTTCACCATTAACTATTACTTAACTGTGGTAGAAACAGTTCTTAGTAAGCCTTATTAATAAGCCTTAGTAATATTTATTGAACGGAAATGAATACAGTTCTTATATGTGGTTATGAATGAATCAGTATTACAATAAGAAAAATTGAGCAAAATTATAAGAAAAATATTTTTTGAGAGTTCTTATTAACTAACGTATACATAGTTTAAATTGATTTTTAAAACTAGGTTTTTAAAACGCGGTAACGAAATGTTTCCTGACATGTACTGTAACTCCCGCCATTGAGCCGCACGTCAACTTATAGTGCATACGGTACCTATACGCTTAAATTGTTTCTATTTCGTAGCTTATTCGACTACCTGCTTTCGATTTCAGTTTTTTGTTATTTGCTTTGTGATTTGGTTAAGGTTGAATGGATTTATATTGGCTTTCATTTTCGGATTTGTGTATTTTCTTGGATCGGTTTTGTTGATTTGGTTGGTATTCCTTTATACATACTTAGACTCTGGCTTTGATTTTGGATTTTGTTTATTTAGAATCGTGAATTGGTTTTCGTTGTTTTAGGTTGTTTAACAATATTTCAAAGGAATATTAATAGTATAGATAGTGTATACGGTACCTATACACTTACTTCTTTTTTCGTTGGTTATATTTATATTGACTACTGCTTTCGATTTCGGTTTTCTGCGATTTGTTTTGTGATTTGGTTTAAGTTGATTCGATTTTTTTGGCTATCGTTTTCGGATTCGTGTTGTGTATTGAATTGGTTTTGTTGTTTTGATTTTAAAAAATATTTAAAACGAATATTTATTCCTTTTAGATATTTTGGCTTTGCTTTTAAAAAATATTTAAAAGGAAATTTAATTCCTTTTAGGTATTTTAAATTTTTTTCATAAATAGGTTTTTTGTTACTTCATAATGCCTCGCAAACGTAAGTCCAGCCTTTCAAGAGTATCTTCTCAAAGACAAGCGAAAAGATTAGGCAAAGGCTATTCGAACAAGCGGAACGTCAGGCCGCATTAAGAGCAGCGGAAACACCTGATGAAACTCAACACAGACTCATTGAGTAAGCTGAACGTCAATCTACTATAAGGGCATCTGAAACACCAGAACAGACACAGGCGGCAAGAGATGCAAATGCACAGCTCCAAGCTGAACGTCGACAAAATTTTCAAAGAAACAATTAGTCGGTTTTTAATGACGATAATCCGTTGATTGATTATAAAAATCACAGGTTAGTTATTATCGGACTGATGGACAAGGCGTGTCGATTTTGCAGCGCTTTAAAATGGAAAGATGAGACCGCAGGCATGTGCTGTTCCAATGGCAAAGTGTCTCTTCCGTTACTTGGGGAACCAGAAGAACCTTTGAAAACTCTCTTTTTATATGATGCTAATGAGTCACGGCGTTTTTTAAGAGGATCCGGAAATATAACTCATTCAAATGACGTCCTTCGGAGTTGACCGGGAAATAATAATGCCGGGATTTTCGCCTAGATTTACGGTGCAAGGGCAAATTTATCATAGAATAGGTTCACTTTTTCCAGCTGAAAACGAACAGCATAAATTTTTACGAGTATATTTTATGTGTGACGAAGAAATTGAGGTGACCATCGCTGTCAATTTATCCAGGGAATTGAGAGAGACACAGTGTTCAAAATTCAAAGATTCTTGCATGAACGTAACATTTTAGTCAAAACATTTAAAACTGCTTTAGATAACCTACCTGAAGAGGATTACAAAGTCGTCATTCACGCAGATCGGACCCCTCGAGGAGAGCATGAAAGGCGCTACAATGCACCTTTGATAAACGAAATAGCAGCCGTAATTAGTGGTGATCAATTTTCTTCACGAGACATTGTCTTGCGAGCACGTGATGATACGTTGCAACGGGTAGCCGATACACACAAGTTTTATGACGCTCTGCAATACCCATTGATTTATTGTAAAGGACAAGAGGGTTATAATTTTCAAATTCCACTCATTAACCCGGTCACAAGGGAGCCTACTTCGAACACAAAAGTATCATGTATGGATTTTTATGCGTATCATATGATGTTGCGAGAAAATGATTTTAACCTCTTAGCCCGGTGTAGACAATTATTTCATCAATTTTTGGTAGACATGTATGTGAAGGTAGAAAGTGAACGTCTCCGTTATATATCTTTAAATCAAAAAAAGCTGAGCGTTGAGATTTATATATATTTACAAGATGCAGTTTCTAGCGACGCCAATGTAAACCCCAGAGATTTAGGTAAAATGGTAATTCTGCTCTCATCATTCGTTAACAGTCCCCGCTACCTATGATAATCTATTCAGATATATTAAGCGAAGAAGCAGGAGAAATAACAGAGTATTTGTCAGTAGACACAGTTATGGACACAGAACAGAGCACTTCATATCCCGTAGAGTTTCTAAATTCTCTAGAGTTGTCAGGTGTGCCCTCACATAAGCTTCAATTAAAATTAGGCGTCCCAGTCATGCTAATGCGAAATTTAGATGCTCCTCGATTATGTAACGGGACAAGGTTGCGTGTGACACATCTTGGACGGAACATAATCGGTGCTACAATTTTGAGAGGCGTAGGAAAAGGTGAAAATGTTATTATACCACGGATCCCCATAATTCCCACAGATCTTCCCTTTCAATTCAAAAGGTTGCAGTTCCCTATTAAGCTCAGTTTTGCAATGACATTAATAAAGCGCAAGGGGAAACGTTACCGGTAGCGGGGGTCAACTTAGAAAAACCGTGCTTCTCTCATGGTCAGCTGTATGTAGCATGTTCGCGTGTGTCAAATGCCCAGAATCTCCATATTCTTTCCCCGAATGGAAAAACATATAACATTGTGTACAGTAGCGTCTTAAAATAGTGTTCAGTTAGTTTTTTTTTTTCAAAATTCCCACAATCAATTAATCAGAATTTCCACAGATCTTCCCTTTCAATTCAAAATTTCCTATTTAACTCAGTTTCTTTTCAATTCCAAATGCTACACCTCTGACGGACCTATTAAGCTCAGTTTCCTTTCAACTCAACATGCTGCATCTCTGACGGATCAATTTAGCTCAGTTTTTTTTTTCAAAAGTCTGTATCCCTAACCGATAATTATGCTCAGTTTCCTTTAATTAAAAAAATGTCCCATTTCCATTTGGAATAAACAGGCTATTTTCATGCTTTCTTATACGCTGCGTTTCAAAACATTTAAATAGGCTGACGAAACAATTTTGCTCAATTTCCTTTTAATCTCTGACAAATATATAAAACTCGGTTTTCTTTCAATTCTAAAAGCAATGGATAGTTCATTTCCCAGTGACCATGCGGGCGAAGCCGCGGGTAACAGTTAGTTTATTTATATTTAACATGGTTATCTCAAATCCTAAACAAAAATATCTAAACTCCGTTTACTTTTAAATATGGAATTGGTTGTAATACAGTTGAGGAAATATTGTTTTGATTGTATCTGAGTGACGGAGCTTTTATCTGTGTCAGAAAAAATATATTCTCAAGGATGAAATATTATGTAGATCAACGTGGTATGTAAAAGTTATGTATGTAAATAAAAAATTTCATCTAATTTGCTAGAGCCTTTTCCGTGAAAGCAATTACATATTATAATATACATTTATGCAAGAATTGCTAACTTAAAGTGTAGGAACCAAAATAAATAAATTGTACATTTTTTAAAGTGTCAAATGGGGACGGGAGCCTATTAAACTCAAATAACACAATTGTTCAATATGATTATAGCAAGTCCCACGGGATACAGCGCATCATCACGCGATGCGCCGTGGGAACGGCGCATAAACAACACCTGGACCAATCGAACGTAGATTATTCCTATCTACACATTACAATTTTAATCACACACTTTAGAACGTGGGAGAAGTATGACATAGAATATGAAATAATAATGTTTTAGTCAGGTTAACATCAACATAATAATAAATATATTATATTAATGTTTGAAATTATATAAATCAGGTATAATGTTGAATAATATATGCGTTAGTGACCCCTTCTAAGGCACGAGTTCAATGAAATCTCAAATAATCTAGTTCGTTATATATTTAAGAAAGTCTTTTGAATGTAATACGCTTTTAATGAAATCATTTTGAAGTTTTAAATCTTATTCTAGTTTATTTATTTTCTGATTTCTCAAATCCAAAAAAAATCCAGTACCTATATGATAAACTTAAAAAACTAGAATTATGTATATAACCTACATTTTCCAACTACAATATAGCTTGTATTTTAATGTAATAAATTAAAAAAAATACAATTTAAAGAATTGTTGATAAGTGTATTTTAAATGATTTTTATTATTTCTTCCATGAAAATTCCAGAGGTCCATTTTTCTAAAAAATATAATAATTTACTTACTTACTTTTAATAGACGTAAAACAAATTAATATGGACTTTATTTTATATATATTCAGTAAATGATTAGATCAGAATTATCTTAAAAAGCAAATCTGTGAATAAACATACCTACTTAATTGTCAAATAGCAAATTGCAACACTTTTGTTGATGGCATACCGCAATATCGATCATCAAAAGGTGCACAACAAATTGGGGTTGCGGGTGAGGGTCGTATCCTGGCACCGCTTGACCCCGGCCTTCTACACCGTGTCATGCTAGGAGTTATTTATATCAAATAAGAACAATCTGTGCTATGACCTGCGCTTATGCAGTATTAAACTTTTCTATGTCCTTGATTATTAATATATAGAACTATATTGCAGTAGGCAGAAAGATTTTGCAGTGACAGTCGCAGCAGAACGTTGTTTTGAAATTACATATCTCTGCTAAGTACTTCCGAATAAGCGGATATCTCGTTAACGAAGTTGTGAATTAGTATGTGATATTTAACGTGAAACTGATGATTTCTGGATCTCGACAACGGCGCCACCTAGCGGGTCTAAATGTGAACCATCTGGGGACCCGTTAAAACACAAAAAAATCATCAAAATCGGTCGAGTCATTTTTGAGTTTTAGCGAGACTAACGGACAGCAATTGATTTTTATTTATGGAGATATGAAAAAACATGTGAAGACATATAACTTAGACATAATAATAGGTCTTTACTTTACTTTTTAATTTTTGTTTGGCTGAGAATTCTAATTTACATACATACATACGTAATCACTCACGCCTGTCACCCAGAGGGGTAGGCAGAGACTACATACTCCCATTTGGCACGATCCTGACACACCTCTCTCGCCTCCTCCACATTCATATACCTAAATACGTAGGTATATGAATGTGCCTCGCTCAAACATGCTCGTCGGTTAAGGGTACGTAGGTCACTCTATAAGTCTCTAGATGCTCGAAATTTAAAAATGGAACGCACTCGTGTTAGATATTTCTAAAAAGCAAATTATTTAAAAATAGAACTCCATATGCCAATTGCTCAAATAAAAAAAAACAAAGTTCTATTAATTTTCCTGGAACGCTTCTCGCGCTTTTCATTTAAAACGATGGATCTTAACCGTGAACATTCGCGCGCTATGATCTACTACGATTTTAGATTTGGTTTTACCGAACAATTAAGTTTACAATGGTTACAATCAGCATTAGGGGACTCAGCTCCATCACGCGTAACAATTTTTAGGTGGTTTGCTGAATTCAAAAGAGGTAAAATTAACCTTAAAGATGACCAAAGAACCGGGGTCCCGCAAACAGCAGTAACTACTGATGTGTTGGTGCGAGAAGATCCACGAATCACATATACGGACATCGAAAAGATTGTAGGCTACATCAACATCTTGGAGTGAGGAAGCTTTGTTGTCGATGGATCCCTCGTTTGCTCTCCAAAAGCGAAAAACTCGTGTGGATTGGTGTCATGCGTCTACGTTTTGAAAACGGGGCATCTAGGCGTGTTTCAGAAATCGTTACTGGTGACAAAACATGAATCCATCAATATGATCTAGAAAATAAAAGGCAAGCAAAGCAAAACAGTTACCGACAAAACTGCAAAGACCTCGTAACGTCGGCAGAAAATGGTGGCCAGGTTTTTTTCGCGGAGCGGACATTTGTCGATGTCAATGCTGGAAAATTGTATGTCAGTCAACTCTGAATGGTATACTACAGTTGCATTACCCAAAACTTTTCAAGCTGTGCAGGAGAGAAGAACAAAGACCTTGCTTCGGGGAATCATGCTGCATCACGATAACGCCTCTTCACATACCTCCCTGACTTAGCTCCTTGTGATTTGTTTTTGTTCCCAAGACTCCAAGAAAAAATAAAAGGCAAGTTTTTTTCAAGCGCCGAAGAAGCCGTGGCTGCCTACGAAGTAGCGATTTCCGACCTGTCAGATCAAGACTGGCAAAAGTGTTTTCAGAGTTGGTTTAGGCGAATGGAACTTTGTATAGAGCATGATGGAGAATATTTTGCAAACATGTAAAATAAATATTAATAGTATCTAGAATACTTTTTGTATATCTCAAAACTTATTGAGTGTTCTACGTACTTTTAATTTGGCCCATTTTCAATATATCGCCAATTTGGTCGATAAAGTTTCCCTTTTTTATATTTGTAAAAATTTAGTTAGTAATATCTCGATTTATTATTTAGCCTATTATTATTAAAACGTGAAGCATTGTAATAAAGGAGTAATTCGACTTCAAACATGGTGTTCTACTTATTGGTAAATCTACTTAGTGCAGAGTTAAACATTTTTTAGTTTAATTAAACTTTTAGTTAAACAATCTAATTTCTTATTAATTTATTTTAAAAAACATGGAATTCTTTTTTATTAGATATTTGTTTATTGATTGGCGTTATGTAAACGTAGATGAGGATCGTGAGAGGAGGTGATGAACCCAAAGCTGTCTTCCGGGTAAAGTGGAGTGAAGGTTGAGTGTAAGTTGTAATTTGGTCAAAAACTCTAAAAGTTATGACATATTTGGACAGCTGGTTAGAATAAAATTATAAGGATTCTTTGTATGATAATGAAAATCTAAAAATGGCCAATTCTGAAAGAAATGTAATCTGCCTAACCTGAGTAATGCATTTCGCATTATCTTTGATGATAAACAAATATCTTACCTCTGATAATAATCTTTTTTTGTTCTTCTTTATTTTGACCATTGTTTACACCAGAAAGCATGGTGTCCGAAAAGCTTCTGTCTGCCCGGACCTGTTGAAATATTTTAAATATATACTTAGCCTTTTTATATTACGTACTAGTGATTTTTGAAACTCGACCAACAGCGCTACCTACCGGGTCTGATTATGAATCTAAACCTTCCTCAACCTTGAACTCAAACCAACTCACACAGTTTCATCAAAATAGGTCGAGCAGTCTTTCAATTTTAGCGAGACTAACACAATTGATTTTTATAATATCTACATATAGTATTCTAGATATTAGTATTCTATAAATTAATAGGTAAATATATAGAACATTTTTTAAAGAATATTAACAATGCTAATAAACATTACTAATATTCCCCTCAACCACTCGTTGTAAGCTTAAATTGCTTGTGTTACGAGTGGTTTTACGCCAGTAGTCGAATGGCAGATTCGAACCCACGACCTTTTTGAGTTCGCGGTCCGCGTCCTGCCATTAGGCTACTGTCGCTTAAAGATTACTGATCAATTTTATGCCCTTTGACTATGCCCAAAATTTTTTTATACTATAGGGTGACAACCGAGCACACAGTCCACCTGATGGTAAGTGGTTGCTATGGCCCATAGACATCTACATCTATCCTCGATTACGAATCAAAATAATAATAATAATGTCCTCCAGACCGAATTCCGGCCACGGCGGCCTGCCTCAACGGAGGCTAGCCAACGGCGCACAGATGCGCTCTCTATTTCCTCACTCTCATAATCCGATGGGACGGTAAACCGACACGACCGGAGAGAGATCAGGTGCAGGACCAACAGCTTTACATGCTTTCTGAGGCACGAGGGTGAGACACCGCCAACTTCCTGACTCCGCGCAGTTATTGAGAATTTCTTGACAGAAAAACTCAATAATTGATTTTTTGGACCGACCCGAACCCAGGACCTCATGATCAGCAGTCGCACTACTGCAACCGCTAGACCAACGAGGTAGGTAACGAATCAAAATACAGATGCGTTGTCACCCGTGAGGACTTAGGTGGAATGCCTCGTTTCTAGTAGGTTCTCTACACTCACCATACGAAACACAGCAACATTAAGCTACTATTTGACGCTGGTATTCTTTGAGAGCGTGGTCCCTCCCCGGTCGAGCCGACCCATTCGCGCTACAACTACACTACTAATATAACAGCAGCATGGCTCTACCACGTTTAACTGCAAACTGATTATTTACTATTACTGATGGTATAGGTTGCATTTAGTGTAAATATCCCGGTCTCTGCCATAGTTAGTTTCAAGCCAAATCCTTGCGTAATATGGCTCAAACATTAAATTTCGTTTTTCTAATGTAAAATCTATTATTCTACTAATACTTAGAAAAAAATAATAGTTATCAAAAACGGTGCAATCAAATTATTGTCATAAAATGTACCACAGTTACAGCAAAGAAAGAAACAATGGCTTGTTTATAAAAACAAACATATATCAGACTTACATATTAACATATAGGTACACATAGTAGTTTAATAGAAAAGATATGCGGAGTTATCTATTTCTACATCATATATATGTTATACATTATAATGGCGCGAATGCGAAGTTATAGTACCAATAAAACTTTATATTATAATATACGTACGTGATGAAAATAAATATTGCATTCATTTATATCATATATCATATTGTATAGTGACATAGCTCTTCTGCGTGTTTCTTTGCCAGTATAGGTACACGTCGATCACACGGCAGGTGCCACCTGGTCTCAAATATAATAATTCTCCCCAGTGCAGTGCGATGAATGAAATGACTTCCAAACAGAATTTAAAACCAACAATATTTAGAATTGAGCAATTTTTTTCAAATGCTGGTCAAGTCTACCTCTTCTTGTCTACCTATAAGCATTTTCATTCCCTTGCGGTCAGACCGTATATCATATTAGAAAAGACTGTAAGATAACTTACCAGTTCTCCTAAGAAGCTGATATATCCGATGGCTAGTTTTAGTGTGTCTACTTTGGAGAGCCGTTTTTCATAAGGCAGGGTAGGTATATGGGCTCTTAGTCCCTCAAATGCATCATTTATAGATTGCATACGACGACGCTCACGCAGGTTAGCCGCCTGCCGTTGTTGGATTTGCTGTTGAGGGCATCGTGAACGTCTTTTATGCAATCGCCTGCAGTCTGACCTAAAAGAAACATAATATTAAACTTTATCTATTTACTATAGTGTGCGACGTAAGATTTAACCTTAGAGTGATTTTAAGCTATGTAGTTGAATGCTTGTGCTCATTGGGGTTCAGTAGACTCTTATCGACAGATTATTTTATGGGATATGCATACCGCATGCGTATAGAATTTGCATGTGGTAGTCACTTACTATCAGGTAAGCCGCATGCCGTAGCTTGTGTCTCACCTGATGGTAAGTGACTACCGCCGCCCATGAACAACCGCAACACCAGGGGAATTGCAGGTGGGTTGTTGGCCCTTTAGAAAGGAGTACGCTCTTTTCTTGAAGGTTTTACGGATTTTATCGCGTATACTTAACGCGTTAACTTATTCTAAATTTCCGACGTTTCGGATAATTTACAACACCCACCGTGACCGCGGGGGGGGGGCAGAGGTGTTCTCATCCTAATGTCGTAGTCAACCACGGCTATCTTCAGTTTAAAGTTATTAATATTGAAGTCTTACGGTGGTATGCTTGGGTTAGACTTAATTTTATTAATTATAAGATCCCTAGCAGATGGTAACACCCCACTATCTTCTCTCTTGAAATTAGGATGGTTTTTGATTTTAATAGCCTCGCGAATCATCCTTGGAAGAATGAATCAGTGTTCTTCAGCGATGATTTGTGGTCTGATTTGTGATCCAATCTAATGTAGTGACGGGGGCGATCCTGTATGTGTTAACAGACTGTAGACTTCCCGCAGCATCGATTCTTCACATCAGCTATGTTGTGTTCTTTTATGCGAGTTTCAATTGATAACTTAGTTTGTCCTCTGTAAGAGAGACCACATTGACAATCAAGCTTGTATACTCCTGCATCTTGCAAAAGGATATTTCACTTGACTGATGGTAAAACTGATTAATCTTCTAGGGCGGCTTGAAATATGTTTTAATGGAAGTTCACTTAAAGATGTAGCTAATCTTGTCTGTGACATCTGTGATATATGGTAGTACAGCAGGCACATGCTTAACTGTGGCTGACTGCACGCATTCACTGTGCCGTAATCGTGGAAACCGAAGCTTTTTGTCGTGCATAACTTGCTTGACGTGTTCGAGTTCGGCGGCCAGGTGTAAAAAAGGTGAAAAAAGACATATACCAACAGATATTTAAACGGGGATTCTCACCACCATCCTTCACAGTTAGCTACCGTGGGAAAGTCTTTATTTCAGAAAGCACGAGGAATCTGTAACACCAAATACTTCACGATCGGCCACAATGTGGTATCTTGGACATGTAATAGCTGTCAACCACAATACGGTAGACTACGGTAGACGGTCTTGCGAAGGGTTATAAAAAATTAGCAGCTGAAAAATAATATATCTCAAAAACGCTGGCGATAATAGATCTACAGTCCACACAATAGTTGCGTGGAAAGGAAAATACTGTAAAATCGTATGGTGGTGTACAGCTAAACATCACCTTTAATCGCAATGTGCGGCGATGGATTAATTCGAACAACAACGTGGAGGACTCCCTTGGAAAAATGCAATAAAAATGCAGATGCAACTTTTTTCGCAAACGAGTGGATCATGCCAATCAGAAAAAAATCCATGGCGTAGTAGATTCGGCCCGCACTTCAGTGGATACGATCAAGTGGGAACTTGCACCTACTGAGGTGCCTTGGCGCAGAGAATAGAAGAGTAATATTCAATTTGAGACCGAACTTGAGCCGTGTAAGTTAACTCATTAGTTCGTAGTTAATTTGTCTAAAATTTTTATTAAGTAGGGAGTAGCGGCTCATCCAAGCTTCCTCTGAGTAGGATCAACTAATGTGGCGTTATATTTATTTTATTATTTATTCGAGTTCTCAAAGATCTTCTAACAACACAAACAAAAAATATAGCCTAGATCACTGCTAGCATTGCACTGTTCGTGAAGTTTCATCATATTACGTTCAGCCACTCTCTCTCACTCTCATTTTAGAAACGATTATTCATGTTTAAATAGCGTGCAAATAACCGCCCAAACTTATAATAATAATAATAAATTCCGATCTAATAATATTTAACAGAAAGAAATTCAATACTCATTATTTCTTATATGTGAACTAGATATTTTTCACCTTAAAAATATTGTAAAACTTAATTTATAATTGGTAGCTTCACTATAGGTTGTGTGTATTGTATTACTTTTAACTGCTTAGTACTTAAAGTTTAATTATAAATACCATTTTTTACATTTTACATTTTTTTAAATCTTTAAACATATTGTGGTTGCAAGCTTTTAATATGTATTAGATATCTGTGGAAACTTCATTGGTTTTATGATTACTTTTATATGTTTTATAACGTATTTTTATTGTACTGTATGTTTCACTTAAAAAGCAAATAAATAAATAAAAAAATATTGTTAAAAAAAGTTCTGAAGTACAATTTACACACATAGAGCTCTGATTCTGCACATCAAGAACTTAACACTTGGCTTGATCCACAAAATTGCAAAGGCTATTTTAGTTTTCCACCCTTCCCTATACACTTTAAGGTGATGTAGGCGCCAAAAGCAGAATTTTCACGCTTTAAAAGTGCAATTTTTTGGCATTAAAAACTACGAACTCACATTTTTTTAAATTCATTATGAAAGTTAAAGATTTTTCTTAGTGAATTATGGTGGCCAAAACACGATTGACACATTTTGTCTCGATAGAAAAAGATCGCAAAGTTTCCTCAAATCTACAATTTTAGGTACAACCACTAAGTGAAAAAGCAGTTTCATTCGAATGTTATGAAATCAATTTCAATTAAATTCAGGCTATGTGTTCACCAGTGAGTGAGTGAATTAGTGGGTGAATTAATGGGTGAAAATGGAGAAATTATGAGTGAATTATTTTTCAATAAAAGAGATATATCATTTTAAAAAGAAATATCAAATAAATATTGCGCGATTGAAAAGCGCGCGGGCCGACCAAACAGTCCATATAAAACGTGAAAAATCTGCTTTTGGCGCCCACTTCACCTTAAAGACGATATTGTTAAACCATTCACGCCAGCGAAGCCGCAGGAAAAGTATTAAAACTACATTCAAGTAGTTGATATATCTTGAACTTGTCATATTCCGTAGAGCACAGATTTAAAAGTTAAAACCGACATCAAAAAACGAAAAAAAATCACATAATGGATTTTGAAATTTCTAAGGCTTTCACTTTTAATTCTTACATATGCTCAATACACGAGCACCGACTTCAGAAACTGTGTGGAAATCATTTTTTTGAAGTTGAATTTTACTTTTTAATAAGTATAATTATTAGTTCTTGCTCTTTTTTAAATAATAATATCTATATATTTATGACACAATAAAAAGTGAATAAAAATTTTATCAATATCGGTTTTGCAACTGTGCAATATTCAGAATATAAATTCATAAAGTTCAAGATCTACATAAAATGAAGGAACATACTAAAATAAGTACCTTGTTTTCCATTTAGTAAAGCGTTTGTGTTTTCCTAATACAATAGTATCTAACATATCTAAAAATTGAAAAAGAGGTACAGTTTAATCATTCTTATTTATTTTAAATATGTGTTTAGTGTCACAATAATTGATATAGCTTTAAGCTGTATCTATTATTATGATTTTTTTAAACATTCGCTATTAATGCAAATCGAATACGGCAGCCATTTATAAACATTCGCTTTGACACTTGAAATTTAATAAGGCTTTCTGTAAAACGGACAATTAATTTACATAATATATTCTCTCATCCACACCTGTGAACATAGAATAGCATTTATTAAATTATTAATAAGTAAATTCCCTGTGCATTCAGGTTATAATTTATATTTTTGCACCCTGTTTGTCGAAAATTCGTCATCCGTCAAAAAGAAACAACCTACCTTTTTATAGGGGTTGATAAATTTTCCTGATCACTTGCATACAGGCTCCCGTCGGACATTGATGAATCGTCGTATAAGAAAACATCGGAGCCGTTGGCTGAAGTGGGCGAACCACCAAGTGATACCGGTACTACACCGGTGCTTTCTAAGCTATGACACCGTCCAACGTTCATGCCGTCCATGTTAAACATTTTAACAAATTTATAACCACATTTAGCACTTTTCACATATTAAACGTTAGCCCTATTATTATGGGGTTCCGCTGTGTCTATCCTTACCGCACTCTATCAAGTTATGAGGCCAGAGAGGGTTGATGTGTAGAGGGCTGAGGCTCGCAAATGGAGTGACTCCGCCCACTTGCCATTTCTCCGCCCATGAGACTTGCCCAACCATTTAATGCAGAACCATGAAAATCAATGTACAGAATTTCTCTAAAAATCTTAAGGGTTATTTTATTACAATGATAATTCAACAACGTAGCTATTAACAATTTTATTAACCGTATAGATACATTTAATAAAAATGTAAATTGCAGGATAGTAGGTACATTTTTGACAAAAATGATTGAGAGAGACTAAAAATAAGTAAATAAATGCTGGATAATTTTAACAATATTATTTTTATAGGGAGCTTCCCTATGAGTATAATATGACGATACACACGGTTAGTTATTATAATTATAAATACATCAATATCGGAGTTTTATATCTGTTTATTTATCGATATATTGAAAATCCGGTGTTTTAAAAAATATCAACAGTCCTAGTTTGAACTGATCAGTTGGAATGATCAGTTGAACTGACCGTGTGTACCGTCCATAAGTCTCATTTAGTTTTATAGGTAGTTATAATATTTACAAACAAAATACATACGGATAAATACCTATGCATCATATTTGTTAATCATTTCTTTAGTTTCCTCTCAAAGAATCAATGTTTATCAAAATAAAATGCAGATTTACATTACAACAAATGTAAAATATCTAAATTACGAGGTTTAATGTTTAAAATTAATTTTAAATGATGTGAAATGACAATTAATGTACTTATGAGGTATGTATCTATGTATAGATATAGTAATAATATGAACTATTAATAAAAAGCTAATTAAACAAACGCATAATATATGAATTTATTTACTAAAAGAGAAAATAAAACGATATAAAGGCTGGTAGCAAAATTTTATTAAAATTCTAGTCTTAAACAAAGGTTTGAGACTAGAATTTTAATAAAATTTTGCCAAAGCTGCGGTGGGCCTCCACGACTTGGCCCGATATTCCCGACTTAGCAAGTGTCGTTGTGTGCGTGCTGTGGCTCGTGCTTACGAGTTCGTACTGGCACGTGACAGACACGCACACATATTAGCGGCGTTTGGTACATTTCTTAGAAGAAGCCTACTATTCTGTTTTTACTATGACTACACAAGGTTCATTCTTCCTCTGGACGAAATTTTAATTTTTATTTTTATTCAATTTTGGTTTTCAAAATGTTTGTATTAACACAAATAATTAATTTTATTATGATACAATTTTAATTTCTACTTTGTCATGTTATATTTTGTAATTGTTACATTTTGTTATACTTACTACTTTGTTTAACACAAGTTAATTTCTAATTTTACTATTTCCTTTAAAATACTTTTAATTTTAGATTTTACTATAATTTCCCTTTCTTCTAATTTTATCGATCAATTTATATATAGTTATTAATCCGTAATTACTATTATAGAAATTAAGTTTTGTGGAGCTGTGGAGACCCTTAAAGGCCAAGCATGTATGTGCAATGCCGCATGTATGAGTATTAGCATATAAAATTCAAAGCAACTTTTGCATTTTAATACAAACTCGGATATAAAAGGATGGTGTAATCTATACATATAATAAATCTGATGAAAAGTCGTGTCAGTTCACGAACTATGAAGATTGCAGATGAATGTCAAGCTATCCAAATAAAGAAAGGCTAGCCACGGGGTCCTTTCACCTGTCCTGTGGAATATGGTCATAATTCATAAATAAACTATTCAGCAAATTAAATGCCAATCACTTATTTACAATTGGTTATACTCGGGAAAAACAGCAAGTATGGGGTGCAACCTGACCCAAGTGGCTCTTCGTATACGAGTAGTGGAGGGTTGGTGCAAGGAATACAATTTTACCGTTAATCCAAGTGAAACGGTTCTAGTAATGTAAAATTAGTACAAACTCGGATATAAAAGGATGGTGTAATCTATACATATAATAAATCTGAAGAAAAGTCGTGTCTGTAATTCTAATATTTCCTGAAAAAAAAAAACAAGTCCAGGGGACTAAATAAAGGATACTAAAGCCAAATTACTGGTTTTTAGAATATTTGTGTGTGTCTGTCTATCTTTCTGTCAGTCTATATGTCTGTGTATTAAGATTCGCGCAAAAACTACTGGACAGATCTCCATGAAATTTTGTTTGTAGCTAGTTAGTAACCCGAGGCAACTTATAGGATACTTTTTAACCGATTACGATACTTAAAAAGGGGGGGTTAGATATTTTCCTTTCTTTAGAACATAATTTTCTATTATGTATGTTTCTTTTAGTTATAATCGGGATAACGTAGTGTTTTAAATGAATACAATATTTTGTATTCATTTATATAAGTTATGTAATAATTTGATCTATATTGTACGTTTCCGAAACAGCGGCATCTATCATAAAAAGTAAAAAGTAGTATATTTCGCCTTCAGTTCAGTTATTTACTAAAAAATTAAATAACATACATTTATATGCTTTAATAATTATATTTATTAAATAATTTGAAAGTTCTGAGATTGATTTTAAGTTTTTCATTGTTTCATTTTAATTATAATAACTTTAAGTAGATAGTAGTGAAATCTATGAAAATTCAGATGGTTTTTAGTTTAATTACTAATATATAAAAATGAACTGATTAAAATTGGTTTCCTGCGATTATTGCGAAATTCTCATTACACTTATACTTCATCTAAAGATACTTTGATATACGTCGTGACCAGATCGTAGAATTGATTTTATTATGAATATCCGACCATTACGTGAAATTGTGGCATTTCGTGAAATTTAACACTGTCTGTTGACATTTCATGATAAGGCTTGACGAAATCGATGAATAAAGATTGTATGAAGAAACTAACAACCAAACCCAACATTGCTGTTTCATAATATTCTAAATATATTGTAAAATAGTTTCACTATTCGCCGGTAGAGGCACTGATTACGCAATTTTTTACTTATACAGAATTTTTAACAGAATCCTCATAACTTTATGCCTCATCGCGAGCATTTAAAGAATATATATATAAATGGTCGTGGCTTTAAGGTAACTAAGCATTCGGCTTAGCTCGGTAACAGAGCCACCTACCGGGTATAATTTTAAATCTAAGCCATCCAGGGACCCACTTAAATACACCAAAATTTCATCAAAATTGGTGAGTTTAGCGAGACTATCGGACGGCAATTGATTTTTATATTTATAGATTGATATGAGATTATGAGATTGATTTTCGATTCATTGCGTCTATTGTTGAAAACCACATCAAAATTTGTTGCGGTGTTTAAAAGATCCAAGCGTACCTACAGACGGTGGGAAGCGACTTTGTTTTATATTTTATACTGTGGAGAGAGGGTCAGTAGTAATAGGCTATCATGAAGTGATTGCGATATTTGAATGAAATGCTGAAGCCCTTCTTAATAATATGATCAATTCTACAATCTGGCTACATTTACATAACTTGACAGTTTTGACTTTCATACTTTGAATCTATAATTAGCGTCATCTACTTACTGCTAAATAAACTTAAAAATAAATTAATAGTAACTAACAGATAAGATCAAATAATAATGCCAGTAGCATTTATTCTTACAAGATCAAAAACTCAGAATATCCAGCCATTATCGGGATGATTTACTGTAACGCCACGTTTAGCAAACTAGTTAGTTTTAACAGTTTTATTTTTATTAGTTTTAACAGTTTAGTTAAACTGTTATACTGCATACTGTGTTTACAAAACTGTGATGAAAAGAGAAACTTTTTAGTAATTCTATATTTCTTGGGTGTATATCGGCATAGCAATAATTTCACTAACTTCCTTTGGTTCAAAAAAAAACCTTAAAATTCGACATTATTCGAAATTTATTTACCTTAATTTATGAATAAATATAAAGAGTAAAAAGTAAATAACGTAACTTTGAATCAAAGATTATTTACCCCTCTTACAGATACCTCGGAAGTCATGACCGATATAAAAAGTGACAGGGGTTGCTAGACTTACGATATTAATGCAATTCTAAAAAAATATACGTATTCAAAAGAATTCAAAAGATATCACTTGACTAACAAACGTGACAACGAGGCGACTCTACAAGTGATCCAACTTTGCAGATTTTGGTACGGAGGAGTATCAATGAGGTTCCTCAAGGGAATCCCACGTGAGCGAAGCCGCAGGTAAAAAGCAAGCGTTGTAATAAAATTATTGCACAAAATAAACGCTTAGATAGAAAAAATTTGATTTGTTAATAGAATTAACAATCGCCTAAAATAACAATCAATCGCCAGCATAAAAGTTGCTCAAAGTAGACATAGAATTGAACCGGCACCGATTACAAATAAGAAGTGCTAGCGCAGCTCTGATTGACTCGATAGTAAACGTGCTCAGTTCACAAACTATGAACATTGCAGATGAATGTCAAGCTATCCAAATAAAGAAAGGCTAGCCACGGGGTTCTTTCACCTGTCCTGTGGAATGTGGTCATAATTCATAAATAAACTATTCAGCAAATTAAATACCAATCACTTATATACAATTGGTTATACTCGGGAAAAACGGCAAGTATGGGGTGCAACCTGACCCAAGTGGCTCTTCGTATACGAGTAGTGGAGGGTTGGTGCAAGGAATACAACTTTACCGTTAACCCAAGTGAAACGGTTCTAGTAATGTTAACACAAAAACGAATTCTGAATAACTATCACCTGCCACGTATTTTCAGAACAAAACTACAGTTATCCTCTAAGGTAAAACACAACAATCTGACTCTGCAATGGATCAAAGGATACAGTGATTCCAGGGGCAACGACGCAGCAGGCGAACTGGCCAGGAGAGAATCGGCTATGACCATTATATGGCCGGAACCATCGTTCACTAGTGCGTAAAAACTTTACTATTCAACACGCCTACATTTTGAAAA